TGGGTCCCCCTCGCAGTGTGGGTGCAGCGAGTCGTTTGGCTGATGCAGAGCGGAGTGCATGCGGGTGTACAGTTTAACCATGTCCTGGATGTAGGAAGGGCCAGATCCATTCGCAGCATGGTACGCAAGTACCAGTGTCTTGAAGTGGATTCTAGCGGAATCCAGTGAAGGGAGCGGAGGAGCGGCGTGGTGTGGAAAAATGTTGGAAGGTTGAAGACCAGACGAGCCGCTGCATTCTGGATGAGCTGCAGAGGTCGGATGGCACATGCAGGTAGACTAGCCAGGAGGGAGTTGCAGTAGTCTAGGCGTGAGATGACGAGAGCCTGGACCAGAACCTGTGTTGCTTTCTGGGTCAGGTGGGGACGTATCCTCCTGATGTTGTAAAGCGTGTATCTGCAGCAACGGGTTGTAGCAGCTATGTTTGCAGTGAAGGACAGTTTGTTATCTAGGATCACACCCAGATTCCTTGCAGTCTGAGTCGGGGAAACAACAGAGGTGCCGATGTTGATTGTTAGGTCAAGAGTGGGACAATCTTTTCCCGGAAGGAAAAGCAGTTCAGTCTTGTCAAGGTTGAGCTTGAGGTGGTGAGCAGACATCCACTGAGAGATGTCAGCTGGACAAGCAGAGATGCGTGCGATGACCTGGGTCTCTGAGCGGGGAAAGGACAGAATTAATTGGGTGTCGTCAGCGTAGCAGTGGTATGAAAAACCATGCGGGCTAATGACAGATCCGAGCGAGTTTGTGTACAGGGAGAAGTGGAGGGGACCAAGGACAGAGCCCTGAGGGACCCCTGTAGTTAATTGACAAGGGTCCGACCCTGTGTCAGTGGATATTATTGATTGGTATATATAATGCATGGCCCAAAGGCAAGGTTAAAACTTTCCAGAATCCCATATTGTTATCCAGTTATTAACCTCTTTATTCCCCACCTAACACATTCAAATCACACACACACACATTGTTCAGAGATAATGGACAAATTGATCCATGGCTTTCTCCTCTCAGATCACTGCAGGTTCTTATCACCATCTGTCAATTACTGCACTGTTAGAGTGCTGTTCCACCTGCAGTTAAGGAGGAACATTGAATCCTACTGTCAAATGTTTCTCTGATTGATGGGACTTGGACAGGTTGGGAGATATTTTTACATCATAGATTGTCCAACAGCTTGTGCCAATATTTTGTTTATTAAAGAAGTATCCTATTATGCTTTTTTGGGGTCCACTCTTTCCTGTTGTGTGTTATATAGGTTTTTGTGCATGTAAATGTTCTGCAGAGGCTAAAATCCCAAAGTGACCCCCAGAGGGAGTTTCTCTACACTCCCCCCTGCCTGAAACGCCTCCATCGGACTCATTTGTTTACTTCTGGAATATAATGACATCACTATGTAATACATGCGTTTCTATTGGCTAAAGCTCCAACACATTGTACGTGACAGGCTAAGGGGCGGGACATCTCTAAGCGGTTGACTAATCACAACAGAGCCGGCCAGCTAACCAATCAGAGCAGTCTGGGCTCTGGTTTCAGACAGAGGGTGAAAAGAGGTGCTGCAGCACAGGCAGTATGAGAAAAATAAAGAGCTTTTTGAACATTAAAGCATGGAGACATGTCCCAGTAGGGGCACTAAATACAAATATGACCCTGAAAATGAGCATAATATGTCCTCTTTAAAAGTATATCGATCAGAGATGAAATGATTTCAGAAACAGTAACCCACTTTCGGATACCAAATGTGTTCTCTGAAATTACAACAAATAAGTTTACATAAACAGGGCCAGTTTTCCAGTTCAGGAAAGGTTCACCTGAAAAATGTATTTTTTGTGTGAATGTGTGGAATAAGAATCAACACTTAGGGTTAACTATGCTTATGGGTCTGAGATTTGCCTCTAGAAAAACTGCAGTACAGTTTGTGTGCAGTGCAATCTTTCCTCCCATGGGAAGAGGAAAACCTTTGAGTTAAGCCAGGAAGTGAGTGAAAAGGAATTCACTTTTCAACAGAGGATAACTTGGCCAACTTAAACACCTGTGCATTTTTTTATAAGAGAAGGAGTTTCAGTGTTATCAATTCGTTTTGGCTTACTAATGTCTCTCAGACTTCCCATTCACAGTTTTCAATTTTTCAGGCATATGTAAAAATGGTTGTACATTTTGTTTTCTGGCAACAGAATAAACAATAACAGTGGTAAAAAGCATTTTTGACAAGTAGGAAGGAGGTACGTTTGAACTCTGGGTTGGATTTAAAAATGGATAAAATAATAGTAGTAAGTCGAAAAAGTAAGCTACTTCCTTAACTTTATTGCAGCTATAATTTCTAACATATCAGAGAATAAAGTTGTTGTTTGGTTGGTTTTGAGGAGGGACTGAAAATAGCAGCCAATGCAGGAGTAAACCTGAATTTTCAGCAGGGAGTGACTAACTATGGTTGTATAACAAGTCTACAAGATAACTTCTCTGCTTCTTACTCAATGTATTAAAACAAAGTCTTCTTTAATACATTACGATGAAAAAGCAACGTATAGCTTTAAGGACTGAATAAATTATTAGGTTGCAACCATATTTCTTTTTATTTCATGCAAGATGATTGCAACATGTTGGTTACCTAAAAAACTAATAGTGACATTGTGACACCCTCTCGTGTCCTTGGTTGCAAAAACACAACAGAGCCATTGCCTTTAAACCACGATGCGACATCCAAAACACCATACGCCAGTCTTCAAAACTTTTCAAAGTGACCTTTCCTGCAGTGCAATGTTTGGTGTTTTGACGGTTTGTTTGATGCTGTTTGAAGTATGACTACTCCAGTTTCTGCTGAGTGATTAGAAAGATTGTTTGATGAAAGGATATATGGGAGGAGGAGAGGAAAATAGGCACACTTCCCTCTCTCTCATATGCGTTTACTGATATATACACTCTTTTTCTACGTGTTCTACCACGCTAACACTCTCACTCTTCTCACTGAGCAGTAAGTGCACGATCAAAGGAAGTTAAAAAATAAACCTCGCAAAAAAATTGAACTCTCCGTGAAACACTTCCCAAAGTCTTTGAAGAATATGAGGTAGCTCACAAACTGTAGCATCAACACTAACCCGCTCAGAGCTAATTAAATGCTAGCACTAGCTAATTAAGCAATTGGAACAGCACTGCAGCAAAGACTGGCAAAGAGACAGTGTCCCTGCAGGAAATCTGGGTGCCAGAGTTTTATGTCCCTGCAGGAGAAAGTGTCTTGGACATCTCAGCAGTACCAGAGTGCTCCTGAATAACATATATGAGACTGAATGTGTGCACATATTTGTCACAATTGAGCCACTGTGGGCAAATTACTAAAAGCAATTGAAAAGCATTAACATAGCATGGGAAGCATCAGGTCTTTGTTTTCCCAAAATGTCATTGCTGATAAAAAGTAGTCACATTGTATAACTTATTGGAGATGCAGTGTAGACTTTTTATGTTTTATACTTTCAAATAAGGCATCAGAAGGCCTTTATTAGCCAGTAAAATGATTAACAATGGGTGAAAGAACTAAAATCACCAAATTAAGACTGAAAAGTCCAAAGACATGCAGGTTGTGTTCATGTAAAGTTGTTGGTAGTCTGTCTCTATGTGTCAGATATGTGATATGCTGGTGTCCAGTGTGTATTCTCATGTTTGCCTTTTGGAAGCTGGTATTGGTTTCCAGCACCAGTGGTGTAGTGGTCGTTGGACGCGGGGGATCGCCGTACCCCCACTTATTTGGAGCCCTCACTTTTTTGAAGCATGATTTTTTTTTAATAGCCTAATAAATATGAAATCATTGCCAGTGTTATCATTTGCAAGTGTCCATGGTTTTGAGTCTGTGTGTGCGTTGAGCGCAGCGCCGTCTGCTTTTTGCAGTACAGTAACTAAAGTAGGACTAAGCATACTGGTTGTTTCTGTAGACCTGTCTGCCGAGTGCACTGCGCGCGTGCGCACTTGTGGCATTGTTTGGGATGACCTAATTAAAATAGCGTCCACCCAGTAAAAAAAATCCCCACTACACCACTGTCCAGCACCATACACATCATTCCAGTAAATGACTCACATGAGTATTTTCTTATATGCCAAATCCATGGTTAAGGTCTAACGATCTGCTGTGACTAAAGATGCTGAGAGAAGGTTTGTGGTCATGATTAAAACAAACCAGTGTCTTAGTGGTCGATTAAGACTACTTGTGTATAGAATATGTTTGCCTCATAGCTACCAAAGTATGTATTGTACCAATTTTAACAAGCCTGGCATCTAATTTAAAACAAGCAGTTTTTTTTTATTTTAGTTATCACTTTGTTTAAGACCAGCTTTCATTTATCTTTCTGTCTAGTCAACCAACTCTGGCAATATTTGGTAACACTGTGTTTAGATTGGTCAAACTTGAAGCCAACATCAATCGACTTTCACAAACGCTCTTGCTATTACAATGCTAAATGTGTTTTTTAGCTGGTTACATTTCTAGTGTTAGCAAAAAATACGTGCACACTTACAGAGACAAGAAGTGTAGGGCGTTTGGTACATTTAGCACCGCTTGAAATGCTTTGGTTATATCAAATCAAAACGGGGGTTACGTATTGTAACCCTAGTTCTATAAGCACTTGCGGAGCCCTCTACTGGACCCTATGGGTACTACTCTCATCAATGATTCGCAAGCGTTCACATACTGAAGTTGTATAAACGTAGCCTGCCAATCAGGGCGAGAGCAAGAGAAGAACATGACTTTCTGGAATACACACCAACAAACATATGCCTTGTTGTTCAAATAGGAACAGTACACACATATTTGATATTATGAACCCATGCAAGCAATATACTGCATGTTCTGTAATGTAGAAACACTGCTTTTTCTTCATTTTCTGTTTTAGCATGCACACTCACAAGAACACACGCCATGGTATCATTCATGAACACCCAACTTCACACACACACACACACACACACACACACACACACACACACACACACACACACACACACACACACACACACACACTCACCACTGATGCAGAGGCTGAAGCGGCAGAGTTCGTCACACAAAGTGTCCGGGCTCTCCAGATCTCCCGGCCCCCCGTTTTTCCCTCCTTCTCTCCTTTTCTTCCTGGGCGACATCCTCTTCACCATCTTCATCACTCGCTCCACTTTGTCCATCCTGGATGATGGATGTCGGACAGAGGTTCAAGTGATGGTAGACTTGTTTCTCCTTCTTCCTTTCCCCCTTTCTTCTCTTGGTTCTCACTCTTTCGCTTCTTCTTCGTCGGCCACTTCCTCCTCTTCTTTTCTAAATCTGTCTTATAACTTTCCACACTTACTTGTTTCTCGTCTCCCCCTCTTCCCTCATCTTTCTAGAATAGTGGCTTTCTAGCTTTCCAAGGTCCCTCTTCCTTGTTCACAGATTCTGCACCTCTGATTTGTCCGCAGCACTTAGTTGCTTAGTCCCACAAACACTCTCCTTTTCGCCTTTCTTTCCTCTCCTCTTCAGCTCGCAGAATTCCGCTGAGCGAAGCGACGAGAGAAGTGAGACACTGAGGGAAAGGAGAGGGAGGAAGGGAGAGGACATTTACTTCTCCCTCCCCCTCTGCACCCCCACCTCGTCACCTCGTCACCTCCCACATCAATCCTTCAAAACTCTCAGCTGGTGCTTCCAGAGAAACAGAGCGAAGAAATATACGATGCAACTTCCTTTTATTTAAGAACACTCAGCATGGTGCTATATTTTGGGGTCTCTTGCACTATGCTCCATTATCTTACTGCCACACACACACACACACACACACACACACACACACACACACACACACACACACACACACACACACACACACACACACACACACACACACACACACACACACACACACACACACACACACACACACACACACACACACACACACACACAGTTTGTCCATGTCTTCCTCCCTCCTTTTTTCTATTGTTTCTTGTTTGTCCTACCTCTTCCATATATTCATCCCCTCTTATCAATCCTACTCCACTTGGTCCCTCGACCCTAAGCGTCCTTCCTATCCTTCCTTCATCCTAACTTACCCTCTTTGTTTATCTTTCAACATCCTTGTTCTCTTTGTCTATCTTTTTCTAATTTCTTCTCACCTTCCCTCAGCATGTTCTCATCTGTTCTTTGATCTCTGATTCGTGTCTTTCCATAATAAGCTCATCATCTACTATGGAGACACACACTCACACACACACACACATGCATGCACATTACCGATTTAAGCAGGCAAGACCACACACATCTAGAACCTGTTAAGCCCGGATGCGGGTATTTTTTTCACGAAACTGTGTCTCAGGGCTTCTTAACATTTAACAAACTATTAATGTGTCAAACTCACTTAACGAAAAGAAACTCAGCTAAATGACGATACGAACAATTTTTACCGAAATAAAACAAAAGTCTCACAATAAGTGTCTAAATGAGCCCTGAGCGAAAAAATGCTGACGCACTTAGAACAAAACTCACGGTATAAATACTTTATTACTTATCGGATCTGCACAAACAAGATATCAGATTAAAGCTGAGATTCCACAGATTCTAGAGGTATTAGTATCATCACTGTGCAATCAGGGGAAGCAAACCCAGACATCACACGACGTAGCTTTAATCGACCAAGGGGGGCCAGAGATATGGAAAACGCACCCAAATGACCCCAGAAGTGTTTTTTTCTTCTAAATCTCTCTAAAAAGGTCAAATTTCACTTGTTTTGCATCAATCTTGATACAGGGTACTTTTTATATGTTATAGTTTGACACACTATAATTTACATTTTTTTACTGTGTTCAATCTGAATTTACTTTAAAATAAAACAATTCTATATTGATTCTGACATTTCTACATCCAACTCACAGGTTTATCATTGCTTTGAGAAAAAAGATTATTAATGTACCCCTTTTAGAAGTGAAGATATAGTAATTTGTTCTGGGAATGTCATTTTCGAGCCTGAGGCCTGAAAAACAGGCTCAGGGGTTAACAGGTTAAATAACCATTTTATTCCTGTGGCATTCCTGCAGTATGTATGTTATATATGCAGGGGTGCACATAACTTTTTTGCCCTGGTTCTCAAAGGAGCACTTGGAGATGTTGCTTGGTGCTTATCCTTAAAATGAAATAAACCGTAACTTTTGAGGGGTCTTGACTTTATTTGCCAGACACACGGCACTGAACACAAATGCAGAGGTGAACACAGAACACACATGCAGAGGTGAACACAAGACAACATTAGCACGACCAGTTATCCTACAAACTGTCATCACTGCCCTCCTGACTGTTCTCCTCACTGTCTAGTCCTCTCTGTCAGACATGGTAGCTGATGATGTAGGCCTACTTCTTTCTCTCTGGTTAAGTCTGTGATTAGCTGCTTGCATCCACAAGTCAACAGCTGGGTTTTGGGTCGAAAGTCTCTGTTGTCATCTTAGACAAGTGGATGTAATCGAATAAGTATGTGAACATAACCAATAACCTACCATAGCCAATAACAAATTAATGTAACTTATTTTATTTGTGTTGTTCATTCATATCTTATTTTACCTTAACATTTATTTATTTATGCTTTTTTTTTTTTAATCTCTCCAGTTTTAAACGATATGTCTGGTTTACTGTCCTATAGTATACATTGGAATGATTTAAAACCTGTTTTATCCCAATAATTATAAAGGAGTGCCTTGGAAATATGTGTTTACATAAATTGTGATCAAAACGTTTGAGACCCACTGAGATAACTTAGACTAAAGTGAACTATCTAAACACTCAAGAGTCCTTTACCTCACTGAGCTGTAGTTATCAGCCTCAGTCTGACTGGAGAGGACTCTCCCTCCACATCATTGTAGAAACATCTTCTTCTTCCGTTAGAGCAGCTAGCACCAGATGCTAATAACAACAGCGCCGGAACCGGTGCACCCTCCCTCTCTCCCACGCTCACTCGCACTTTGGCTGTGAGCTGCGGGCGCCAGACAAGCCAACATCCCCCATTTTCATCACTTACAGCGCCCATCGTACAGGGCAAATGAAACGTGTAACCGGGGTGAAAAGGGTGTTACATTTACTTAATTATGAATGTTGTTACATCAAGGCCGAAAATTAGGATGAGCCCCAACGGTCAAAAATGTTTTTTTCCCTCCCAGAGCTGCCAGCGCAGCGCCTCCACAGATCTGGCGCCCTAGGCGAACATCTATAACGCCAGTTCATATGCAACTCGCAAATGTCTTTCTCTCTCTCCTCTCTTCTCCCTTCTCTCTTCTGTCTCTTCTCTCTCTCCTCTCCCTCTCTCAATTTTGGTACGCAAATGCGCCTTTTTTTAAATGACCCGGTGCTCTTTTTTTGGCGGAGGTGCACATGCGCACCTGCGCACCAGTTATGTGCAGCCCTGTAGGCCTATATAGATGTTCTGTGCATGTAAATGGTCTGCAAAGGCTAACATCCCAATGTTCACTGGTCACTCCAGAGGGAGTTTCTAACCCCACCACCCCCCCCAGGTTGTTTGGCCTGAATTTTTTTTGGACGGACACTATAATTTAATTATTTTTTACTATGTTCAATCTGAATTTACTTTAAAATAAAAAACATCTATATTGATTCTGACTTTTCTACATCCAACTCACAGGTTTATCATTACTTTGAGAAAAAAGATTATTAATGTACCCCTTTTAGAAGTGAAGATATGATCATTTGTTCTGGGAATGTCATTTTCCAGCCTGAGGCCTGAAAAACAGGCTCAGGGCTCAACTGGTTAACTTCAGGTTTTTCCATACTTATTCTTACACGAGGTGTCTGTCATTACCACTCAATGACATCCCCATCTATATTTCCCTCTTGCACATTTTTTTCTCAATCTCACCCTGCTCATTCTGGTAGAAGTTTTTCAGTCAAACTGAGAGAAAAAGCCTCTGAAATGTCTGGAACACGGCCTGGTTCTCTCATCCTGCATCCTTTGTTCACGCTCACAGTGTGTGTGTGTGTGTGTGTGTGTGTGTGTGTGTGTGTGTGTGTGTGTGTGTGTGTGTGTGTGTGTGTGTGTGTGTGTGTGTGTGTGTGTGTGTGTGTGTGTGTGTGTGTGTGTGTGTGTGTGTGTGTTTGGGTATGCAACCCATGAGAGACCGAAAGTGTTTGCTCTGCAGTTCACAGGTATAACTTGTCCTATACCTCTCCTTCTACTCACTTTAACTTTCCCATACCAGCTCATTTCTTATTCACACCATCCCTCTTTTGAAACGAAAAAGGACCTATACAGGTGTGCATGCATTTCGGTCTATGACTAATCGTCTGGTTTTTTTCAGTGATGCAGTGCAGACTTTACTCATCAACACTACAAATGCTCTTTACAGCATGCACTTATCATCTCCTGCTGTAGCTCTGCAGGAAGTTGTCACTATCGATTCAAACATATAATTGGTATGAAACAAATGTTCTAATCTAATGCTTTAAAACCCATGAGCTCCTTTAAACTGTTGACATCTACAGTAAGTGCTAAATTCAGAAGTATGTTTTTTTGGGGGGTTTTGTTTTCTTTCCCAAGGTGCCTACTGACATATACTGCAGTAGATGAGTGCATTTGCAATATAGAGTGGGATATGTGAGTTAATGGTCCAAACCAAGAGTACGTTAGAGGCAGTTATGGCAGTGGAGGGCAGCGGATCTACCTGAGAGAACCATTTAAGCGGACCTGGCAGGATTCCAATCTTCAACACTGACACAGTGGTCCAGAGCTGCAGAGCATGTGGTTGATATCAGCTTTAGTTGGTTTTATTTGGAACTTTAAAAAAAATGGTAGTAGCTTTGTGACTTTGACTCATTTTAATTTAAAAGGACATCTTATCCACCTTTTCAGATAATATTTGTATGTTGTGCCTCTACCACATGTTTGCATGCTTTAATATTTAAAAATATCTTTACTTTTCTCATACTGCCTGTGCTGCAGCACCTCTTTTCACCCTCTGTCTGAAACCAGAGCCCAGTCTGCGGTTTGTAACACTGCCGTCCTGACGGTAGTAGACCGATTCACCAAGATGGTTCACTCTGCCAAGGAAATGGCAGAGGTCATGCTAACCCACGTATTCAGGATTCATGGCTTCCCCAGTGATGTGGTGTCCGACCGAGGTCCCCAGTTCATCTCCGTCTTCTGGAGGGAATTCTGCCGGCTCCTAGGCGCCACCATCAGCCTGTCTTCCGGCTACCACCCCCAGTCCAATGGCCAGACAGAACGCCTAAATCAGGACCTCGAGACCTGCCTCAGATGCCTTGTGTCCCAGAGCCCGACAGACAAAATACATAAACATAACTAACACATTTGACGAGATACAACACTCTAGCATTATCAAAAAATTATGTATTGTGGTTTGAATAGCGCCATTGCTCAAAACGTTGGTACATGCTGTTTTAATTTGTACATTTGATCAGGTTCCAATCAGCCTATGAGCATTTTTGGGGATCTGATCAAAATGTGGGCAGATTGAAGATACAATGATATGAGAAGACCTTTAG